CCTCTGTGGAAACGAGAGTGGCGCAGGCTTTGGAGGAGATCAGAAGAATGATGATCAGCAATGGATGAAATCCTGCACCTAGTGGTCCAGTGTTGGACAGGAATGAGGAAAAGCTTGAAGCTCGAGCACCCAGACCTATTGAAAATCAAAATCCTACCAGAAATTATCAAGTTGATGTAGCTATCTCTAGGTTTGATGGAACTGGGCTAAAAGATTGGTTGTATAAATGTGAGCAGTTCTTCGATGTGAATGAAACTCCTGAAGAATCTAAGGTCAAACTGGCTTCTTGCAAATTAGAGGGTCGGGCACTTCAATGGCACCAATATTTCATGAAGTCTAGGGTGACTAGGGAATGGCCTCGATGGGGAGAGTATGTAAGATGCCTTTATGCCAGGTTTGGTGCAGAGCTATTTGATGATCCCATGGGTGATTTCAAAGATCTCAGGCAGGTAACTTCTGTTCAAGATTATATTGATAATTTTGATGAATTACTCAAATGAGTTGAATTGCAAGAGGAGTATGTTGTTAGTTGCTTTCTAAGAGGATTGAAACCAGGAATTGGCATTACATGTTAAGATGTTAGGTCCCAGATCTTTAGCCAAAGTTTGGCCAGAATTCAAGAGCATACTTTAGAAGTTCAGAAACAAGTTTTTTCTACTAATCCCATCCTCCCTACTCCAAGAAATATTTCCAGATTTCAGCCTGCAAATCCCTCTCCTCAAGGATACAACCACCTGCCATCTAAACCCAACCAAACCTTTCCAAAACAGTAATCTTCTTATCCCAGCAATTATAAACCATCCTACAAAAATCCTAAGCTTTTGATTAGTGCTGAAATGGAAGAAAAAAGAAGCAAAGTGTTATGCTTCCATTGTGATGAGAAATATACTGTGGGGCATGTGTGTAAGAAGAAGAGGCAATTTTTCTCTATGGAAGTAGAAGAAGGAGATGGGCTGATGGAATTGGAGGAAGAAGTCATGTTGGATCCAGCAGAGTTATTGACTATGATAGCCCAAGGCCTTGAAACTGATTCAGAAGGTTCTATCTTACCTCATGTATCTGTGCATGCCATGAATGGTGCACATGACTTCAGAATCATGAGGGTGATAGTATCAGTCAAAGGAAAGGCAGTCCTTCTGCTCATTGATACAGGTAGCACACATAATTTCTTGGACCTTAACAATTCCAAGAAGTTAGGTTGTGTTCTGACTTCCATAGCTCCTTTTGCAGTATCAGTAGCTGATGGTAACAAGGTACAAAGTTATTATGTTTGTAAGAAATTGGTGCGGAAAATGCAGGGAACATCTTTTGATTCTGACATGCTTGTATTACCTATTGGAGGATGTAATATGGTTCTTGACATTCAATGGCTGATCACCCTAGGTGATATCCTATGAAATTTCAGGAAGCTTAAAATGGAATTCACTATCATGGGTAAGAAGATCTCTCTAAGAGGTATTCAACCACCTGCTGCTAAGATCATACAGTCAGGAAGGATGGATAAGCTCCTTGTTAAGCCAGCAGAAATATGCATGATTTCAGTAGGAGTATTGACAGAAGGAGATCCAAGTGAAGCTGCTAGCTTGTCTTCTTTGGTAGCTCAAGCTCAAGACCAGGAGAAAATGGTAGAACTACACTCAGTTTTGCAGAAGTACAATGATATATTTGAAGAGCCCAAAGAACTACCACCCTCAAGAGAGCATGATAACAAGATTGTTCTGAAAAGGGTACTGCTCCAATCAACAAAAGTCCCTACAGATATCAAGCTATTCAGAAGGATGAAATTGAAAAGATGGTAGATGAGATATTGAATTCTGGGGTGATCAGGCACAGTATCAGCCCCTACTCTTCTCCTATTGTACTGGTAAAGAAAAAGGATGGAACATGGAGAATATGTGTGGACTATAGGAAGTTGAACAGCTGTACAGTGAAGGATAAGTTCTCAATCCCTGTTATTGAGGAACTATTAGGTGAATTACATGGGGCCAAGTACTTTTCAAAGCTAGATCTAAGGTCGGGGTACCATCAAATTAGGATGTTTGAGCAAGACATCCCTAAAACAGTATTAAGGACTCACCATGGCCATTATGTATTCATGGTAATGCCCTTTGGGTTGATTAATGCTCCTTCAACTTTTTAGAGTCTCATGAATCAGATATTTCATAGTTATCTTAGGAAATCCATTCTGATTTCTTTGATGCCATCCTCATCTATAGTTCCAGCTGGTCAGATCATATGATCCATTTAGCGGAAGCTTTTCAAATATTAAGATCACATGTGTTGTTTGTCAAAAAAAGCAAGTGTGCCTTTGGGGTCACACAGATAGACTATTTAGGTCATGTTATAAGTAATGGGGGAGTGGCTATGGATCAGCAGAAGGTGTCAGTTGTGTTGAGTTGGCCTCAACCAACCACATTGAAGGGATTGGAGGGTTTTCTTGGTCTTACTTGATACTATAGAAGATTCATCAAGAACTATGGTTTAATTGCTAGACCATTGCATGATCTACTTAGAAGGGAAAACTTTGTCTGGAATTCCTTGGCCACTGAAGCTTTTGAAGCATTAAAGAGAGCTATTACTTTAGCTCATGTTCTAACCCTGCCTGACTTCTCTAAGGAGTTTGTGGTAGAGACTGATGCTTCAGGTGAAGGCATTGGGGCAGTGTTGGTTCAAGACAATAGACCAATAGCTTTCTTTAGTAAAGGATTGTCAGGAAAGAACAAAGCCCTATCAGTTTATGAAAGGGAACTCTTGGCTTTGGTAACTGCAGTCCAGAAATGGAGACCTTATCTTTTGGGAAGGCACTTTGTGATCAAGACAGACCATCACAGTCTTAAGTATCTACTGGAGCAAAGAATCACTACACCTAGCCAGCAGAAATGGTTAGTGAAATTATTAGGCTATGACTACACCGTCTCATATAAAAAGGGGAAGGAAAATATTGTAGCAGATGCCCTTTCAAGGAAGAAGGAAGCCATACAACTCTTCAGTATTTCTGGAGTCTCATCTAGTTTATTGGAATCTGTCAAGCTTAGTTGGGATCAAGATCCACATTTGCAAAAACTGATACATAGTATCCAGTCTGCTTCCACCCCTAAACCTTATTATTCATTCACTGGTAGTGTATTGAGCAGGAAGGGTATGATGATGGTAGGGACTAACCCTACTCTGAGGAAGCAACTACTGACATTCTATCATGACAGTTCTATGGGAGGTCACTCTGGAATCACTGCTACATACAAGAGGATAAAACATGACTTTTATTGGAAGAGGATGAAACAAGATGTTTACAATCATATAAGAGAGTGTGACACTTGCCAAAGATGAAAGGGAGAAAATGTAGCATATCCTAGCCTACTCCAGCCTTTACCAATTCCAGAAAAGGTTTGGCAAGATATCTCTATGGATTTCATAGAAGGGTTACCTAAAGCAGCTGGTAAAGAAGTCATCTGTGTGGTTGTTGACAGGCTGAGCAAGGCTGCTCACTTCATGACACTCAAGCATCCTTATACAGCTCTAGAAGTGGCGCAAGTTTTTATGGATGGGGTGTTTAAGTTGCATGGCATGCCTAAGACTATAGTTTCATATAGGAACAAGGTGTTTACCAGCAAATTTTGGCAAGAGTTGTTCAAACTGCAAAAAGTCTCTCTTAACTTCCTCTGCCTATCATCTATTTGATGAGCAGACTGAAGTTGTTAACAGATGCTTGGAGCGCTATCTGAGATGTATGACTTTTGAGAAGTCCAAGGAATGGCCACTTTGGTTACCCCTAGCAGAATGGTGGTATAATACCACCTCTCATTCAGCTACCAACATAACTCCCTATGAAACAGTCTATGGACAAAAGCCATCTCCATTCCTTCCCTACATGCCTTTTGATTCTTAGCTAGAAGTGGTTGGCAGGAGTTTGCAGGCTAGGGAAGCTACCTTGAGAGCTCTGAAGAATCACCTAGAAAGGGCTCAACAAAGGATGAAGCTGCAGGCAGATAAGGGTAGAACTGAAAGATCTTATAATGTAGGTGATTGGGTTTTCATAAAGCTTCAATCGTACATGCAACTTTCCTGGAAAGATCATACCTATCAGAAGCTCTCAGCAAAGTTTTTTGGACCATTCAAAATACTGGCCAGGGTGGGACCTGTTGCATACACCTTGGATTTACCACCTCATTCCAAGATTCATCCCACCTTTCACATTTCACTACTCAAGAAGAAGTTGGGCGGCCACACTGCTTCGGTAACACTACCTGTCATGCACTCTTAATCTGGCCATGTTTAATTAGAACCTGAAGCCATTGTAGATAGGAGGTTGGCTAAGAAGCATGACAAGGCCATCGCATAGGTTTTGGTGATATGGTTGAATGCTCCACCTGAAGACAATACTTGGGAGGACCTGCAATCCTTTAAGCTGAAGTTTCCTCACTTCAATCCTTGAGGACAAGGACTCTCGAAGGGGAGGGTATTGTTACGATCCTATTAGTTTAGTTGCTAAATCAGAATTTTAATTCTGGAATAAGAAGCCAACAGGTTGTTAGAGTTAGTTAGAAAGGGGTGGATTTACACGTGACTTCCATTAGTTAGTTATAACTAACTTTCCTGCCAAATGTACAAGTATATAGATATGAGCTTCTATGATTGTAATGTTCAGTTTTGGAGAATTAAAGATCAATTAACTCGTCTCTCTTTTCTCTCATTAAACACTCAATTTACGGTTGAGCTCTAGGGAGTCTGTTCAAGAGTAATTTTTCCAATTTTACTCTTTAGGTTTCTCTTTTCCCTTTTCTTAGCTCGCAAATTCTGGAACATATTGATGGACGACAAGAACTAGGGTTCTGACAACGCTATCCATTTTTTGGCATAGGTCTATGATTCCAATGAGGTTTTTGTTGGTTTTTCTGCAATTTGGTAGTCGACCGGGGCTAGCAAACCTCTGATTTTCAGATTTTCTCCTCCAAGATCTTAAAGAAGCGTATACAGTTTCCAGCTTTTCATACAGAGACATATTTTCAGGCAAAACAGAATTTATAATAAGCGTGTTTTGAAGAGTACATCTGACAAAAAAATAGTTCTGCTTGTACTAATATAAACTGGCCAACAATGTTCACCTCTTAACTCTTTAAAACAAAAGAGAGGAAAAGAAGAGCAAGTCAGGAAATCTCATCCTTTTTCACTGCTAATAATAATGTTTATTAACAAACATGAATGACTCTACTAGGTAGTGGAAGAAGCATACAAAATGTTTCATCTATAACTAAGAATGAACCTAAAACTCAAAGTTCCTAATATAGCCGGAAATGTGATTAAATGTCAGCCGAAATTCCCAGTTTAGCGATAGGTGCGATATACTGGAGTGTACATGCAGCTCTCAGCATACTTTTCAAGATTGGTAGGACGAGGGAGACGCGTTGCTAGACCTGAAAAAAGTGGTTAAGTTAAGGATTCATCATCAGCAAGTTTGAGCTAGGTGCTTTATTTGTTAAACCACTTTGGAGGACTCACCAAGTTCATATGCCTTAGCAGCTACTTCGGCCGCGATATGGGCTGATATTTTTCTGATGTTAGTGAATGGTGGGTAGATCCGTCCCTTTAAATAGTCTTCCTCTGTCACCTGAGCTGCCAAAGCTTCCGCTGTTTCATGAAAGAAATAATTGAAGTCAAATTACATGCATGAAAAGATTTTTCCCTCCTTTCGCTAACATCCTACGAAATAAGCATCAATCTATAGTACATGTTAATTAACTGATAAAGAGATTACATGAGATTCTAAATCAGACTCGAAGTATACATAATTCTTGACTTTAATATACTTACAGGCTGCCAGTAACATATCATCATGCACCCGAATTGTGCCAGACATGATAATTCCCAAACCAAATCCAGGGAATATGTAGGCATTGTTGGCCTGAAAAATTCAGCAAAAGAAGGGTAAATATCCAAATTATTACTCAAGAACAGTCAATTGCTATTGGGAAAGAGCAGCACCTGGCCAGACACAAAAGTCCGTCCCTCATACTCAAACGGGTCAAATGGGCTTCCACTAGCAAAGATTGCATGACCCTGTACGTGGCCGAAGGGGAAAGAGGTAACGCGCTCAGTAATTTGTACATAAAAAATTACTGGCTTGAGGTAGCACATTGTAGAAACCCTGAGCTATCTAAGCTTTATATGGAATTTACCTTACTCCATGTATACGCTTCCTCAGCAGTGCATTCAGCTTGTGATGTCGGATTAGACAAAGCCATAATGAGAGGTTTCTGGAGAACATCATTTGTGCCAAAATTAGAAACTTCATTGTATTGTAGACTATGATTCATGGAGCTTATGTTGCAGTGTCTATGCATGCATATTTTCATTTGTGTGTGCATGTGCATGTGTTAGAGAGGGGGAGACCTACCGGATTGAGAGAAGCCATAGTCTCCACGACTTCCTTCGTAAATGTTTTTCCAACTCCTGAAGTTCCTATTAGAACAGTTGGCTTTATTGCCTGACAAATGGAGAATAAAGTGAGATAAGGAATGTATTTTTTGCCATCATCTATTGAAGTCACATCACGCTTCAATAGAAAGACGCAAATTTCACACCTTGACGGCATCTATAAGTTCCTTAACAGGTTCGTGATCATGAGCCCAAGGCTTTTTGAAGTGCTGAAGGGACTCCAAACGAGAACTAACCACCAGTCCCTGTAATAAATAAAAAACTGTTTGTGGGAAAAGGAGATGCTGATACGAACATAAATGATATTCAAGCATGTAGGTAGAGATCAATTTATTGCGTGTAGCATTTTACTGGAACGTCAGATCATGATATATACCTTAGAGTCGACAAGCCAAATCTTCTTTCGAGCTTCTTCTAAAGGAACACTAGTCTGAAAGGCAAATCCATCCAGAAATTTAGTACAGAAGATTCAAAAAAAGAAAAAAGGAGAAAAAGCAGATGAAGAGTAGTTCGAACCCTTTTTGTTATCTCAAGTGCTATGAGCTCAGCAATACCAGTTCCAGCCTTCAGGAAGCAAAAGACAAGAAAGTTAAAAACAAGATTCCTAACGTTGAGACATAATGTGCTCTTATTGATATGTTGATCAGTATTTTTATGACATTTACAAAATCTCCAATGTATATGGCCATTTTGTATATATAGGTATCCACATGGTCTAGTTAATCCAGGAAAAAAGTTCTTTTAGCAGATAGACTAGGACCAGTGCAGCACTAATGGCCTTAATGGACAGTATTGGCCTTCCTTTCATCTCAGGCCTTTGCCAGTAGATGGGTAGTTAGGCTTCTAGATTGCAAAGAAATGAAACAGACATTTCTGTAATTGATGGACGTTAGTTATTATATCAATCTCCAAAGCCGACGATAAAGTCCTAGGTCTAAATATCATGGCCAACTGAAAATGGTTGAATTGTAAAGGAAGAACCTAAATTTGTGCCATTAACTTAAAATGTATATGAATAAACTACTCTGAAGAAGTAAGCAAGTAAGGTTAAGTAGTAAACCCTTGCTTCAACTACAAAAAAAAAATAAGGCAAAAGCTAATCTAGTTGGACAGTGAGAAGGCTGAAGCTCTTGCCGGAAAATAAGGTGTCACATAACTTTCTATTTTAAGTAGAATAAAATCTGCCTACTGTTCTAATCCATACCAACATACAGTATTGGTACATATAATATGAAACTCTTGAAGAGCAATAACCTAGAAAATGTGAAGGGGCAATAGCTGATGAATCTCACCTCTCCAGCACCTAAGAATAAGAAAGTATGGTCAGCCAGTGTTCCACCAAGTAGTTTTAGAGATGCAATAAGCCCGGCCAGAACCACAGATGCTGTGCCCTGTAAAACAAGTATAAAGATCATTAATCCACTCAAAATGAAGGCAAAAGTTTCAAGTTGACGGTCATTCTCACGATATCTACCTGTATATCATCATTGAATACAAGATGTGTAGTGCGATACTTTGCAAGAAGATCGAATGCATTGTGGTTTGCAAAATCTTCAAACTGAAAAATTTATTAGGCAACTTTAGGACATAAATAAGTGGACCAAAGAGACAAAGTTCTTCAAATTGGTGCTTCATGATAGTTGGGGGAGCACGGAAAAGATAGCAATTGCACAAGGATATTTATAGTTAGTGACATACCTGAATGAGGACTTTCTCTCCGTAGTTTTGCTTAACTGCAGACATAAACTCATCCAGAAGTTCAGCATATTCCTTTAAGAGAAAAACATGAATGAAATTTCAGCTTCCGGAAAGGTAGAGTTTGACAACTGCATTATTTTCATCTGTAGTCTGACAACGCAAAGTAAAGGAATGGAAAAGATCATCAGACCTGCCCTGTAGCTCTTTTCTGCTTGAGTCCAATGTAGAACTCGTTATCCAGTAACTGCTGATTGTTCGTGCCAACATCAATGGTTATAGGAAGACACTGAAGGTGAAAAAATAATAGTGTGAATTTCTGACACAGAGTGTCTAATGAAGTCAATATAATGTAGTCATAAATATCAGCCCTCATACTGATACAAGAAATATTTAACATTTTAGTCGTTTGGGAGATATCATTGAAGACTGATCCATATCAAGTTTAGACGAGGAAACCACATTAAAACTTCAAGAAGATGAAATCTATTAAGATGTTAGAACATATGACATTCTGATCCACTTGATATAGACATTAGAAGAAACAGAATTTTGTGGACATAGATGGAGATCCTCTGAGAAAACGTATTCATCTTCTTTAACATGCCAAATTTTTATTGGCTAATAGCATCCAAATTAATACAAGCTGGAAATAGCCAAAATTCCACTCAGACATGTATGAGAAAGCATAGTAAAAAGGGAAATTTGGAGGCAAGCAAATTTCAAGAAGTATAAAGCATTCCATCCACAAAATTCAAAAAACACAAGGACTAATTATGAGATCAGTTTGAGATAATGATAAGTGTACAAAGAAACAAAGTTGGACCAGTGCTTACTACTGAGGGACGAACACCCCCAAGAGCAGTATAAAGAGAGAGCTTTCCAACTGGAATACCCATGCCCTGAAACAATTATGGAACTTTTGGTCAATTATGTTATCCATCTGCAACTGTGTACAAGTAAAGTAGAGATAGGACTGTCTCTCTAATTAGTTCTATCCAGTTGTTCAAATAACACGCTATTACGCAATAAATCTGACAACTAGTCGAATTTGGCAGATTTACCTGACAGCCAAGATCACCAAGTCCTAATATCCTCTCCCCATCAGTAACAACAATGACTTGAATACTCTTCTCAGGCCAGTTTTTCAATACCTCAAGAATCTTTCCCCTGAAAGTTTCAGTAGTAAAGGTAATTACATTATCTTTGGAGTAGAAGAGCATCAGATGCACAATTAAACCGAACAGCAAAATATTCCTCCACATGGATGACCAGAAAGAAATAAAGGAAGAAACAAGGGAAATTACTTTTCTTTTAAGCTGATGAAGAGACCCTGAGGACGCCTGAAAATGCTTCCATACTTCTGGCAAGCCTCGCCAACTGTTGGGGTATATACAATTGGCAATAGCTCTTCAACATGATCGATGAGAAGCTTGTAAAATAACCTTTCATTTCTTTCCTGGGAATTGGAAAAATAAATTATCAGCAGAATTTTAGCAGCATAGACACAGAATCACCTATTAGTCTGATCATAGAATTGACTCATCATTAAATAACTTAGGTCATAGAACAGCCAAGTAGTGTTTTAATGGAGATTGTATTCCTTTAGACTTCCCCAGATAGTTTCTTACGCAATCCTTGAGAAATGCCAAATTATTTTGCGTGTTCAAATTATCGAAATGATAGCTTACAGCATTCGCTCTAAGAGGGCATAAAAAGGGTTAAACACATGATAAAATAAAAACGAGAAAGAGAAAAGAAGATGAATTCTGGGCCCATATAACCATGCTATATTGGTAATTCCAATTGGTAAATTGTGAGATTTTAAATGCATAGCTTACCATTACATTTTTTTTTTCATAGCTTACCATTGTCATAAGATTAAAAAAAAGTACAGTACATTCCTTCCATAAAAACGTCCTTTAAAGAGTAAATCCAAGACTTTACACCTATTGCCATGCAAACTTACAAAAGATCGAATATGTAACCTCATAAAATTTAATTAACATGGAATCTAACATGCTACAGGAGAGGTAAAATTACCTGAAGATCCATCATGGCCATGTATCTTTGCAATGGAACTTGATATTGGCGGAGATTGTGTATCATTCTCTTCTCCTGATAATTGATGAAAAAGGTTTAGCGGTCTAATTATGAGTGGAAATGGGAACAGAGAATTCAAGTTTATAAGTCAAGGATTATCAAATTACCTGAAGTTCTTGGCTTAAAACAGTAGGAGGCAGAAGGCCGCGCAGATAATGAGCATCTCTCTCTGCTTCAGTGAAGGCGAGCCCTTTGTTGTAATGTGGATCACGTAACAAACTATATCCACTGAAATCAAGAAAGATGATTTGTCAAGAAGGACTAGTTATCACATATAGTTGACAATGTTCAGCCTATAACACAAACTAAATTCACTATTTTCACAAGCAAACACTCATTAGTTTGTAAATTCACTCATGAAAAGTGGTAGGAAGTAAACGCTACGCCTGGAACAGGAAACTAACTGAATAAAATCAGATAATCCAAAGGTAAAGAGGATAATAACACAATTTGCAACTACACATTAGGTCCCCTTATTCTTTGATCTACAAGACCGCTAAAAATTAACATAATGAAACAAGGAACACTACATTATTCTTTTGGGGTATAACAAATTAACACAACCCATAGCAAAATGAAGCAAAAGATCATAGACAATTAAAGAAAAAAAAGATGAGATTACCTAGCAACAGAAAAAGTCCAAGGGGTGATAGGCTGATCTTCAGTAGCTCTATCCTCTCCATACATATCCTCAACACCACCTCCAACACCACATTTATCTTTCATATCAAGAACAGAATCACCATTTGATGTTATTTCCTTCAATGTGCTCTCCATTACTACCCTTATCTTTAATATTCCTCCTCCTCTTTCGCCCAGTAAAAACAACCCCAATGCCTTTCTCTGCCAATGAAACAAACTGAAACAACAATAACCCACAAAGCAAAAAAACAAATAAATACCCAAGAAAACTACAAATGTTCTTTGCTTCTGTTACCAAGAACAGAACAACCCACCTTTTATAACCCAAGAAACAATGAAAAGTTCAAAACTTTATTCAAAATGTTTGAATGCAACTTTTCAATGCCAAATTAATTTTTTAAGTGTGAAGCTGAAAATGCTGCTCAGTAATATAGTGTGAAAGTATTACCAGAGAAAAGATAAAAAGGAAAAAAGAAAGAGAGTTAGGGGAGAGTACCAGGAAATAGGGTCTAGTGAATGAGATCATTATTGTGAGAGAGGAATAAGTAAAATACAGATGTTATGAGAAAGAGAGGGAGACGGAGATTTCCGCGTTACATTACACAAAGTGAGGACTGAAAGTAGTTGGGACAGTTACCAGTTTTGAAGCTTTCTTTCTTCGATTTCTTTTCATTCCTCTCTCGCCGTTATCGGTTTGTTTTCTTTTTCTCCTTATAATGACATATTTGCCCCCAAACATTTTCTGAATTTTTTTTTTCTTTTGGTTATTTTTTACTCGACAAGAAGTGTTTTTTTTAAGCGAATGCAAAATTAATTTAATAAAAATACTGAAAGTAAATACTCCGTTATGAATTTTAGTTGGATGCTTACGATTTTTACATGACATCAAAACAAAACTTCGATAAGCAACTAACATGTTCTGACATGACGAGCTACTTCAAGCAACTCATCAACTTATTGAGTTACTCCGATATCCTTAGAGAAAAAGGAGGGGGAAAAAAGGAATAGAACAAGCAAATTGAGAAGACTAAAATATTCAAATGCGTTTGTAAAATTTTAGGGGTGAATTATACGTGTAGGAGGGTGTTAAAGAATTCAGGATACCCCATATCAATTGTATAAAGGTTTCTAAAGAGGTTTAAAATAGTCCTGAGCTGCTATATCATCTATTGTTTTATGATTTTTGAATTGAATGCTCATATTTTACCACCACTTTATCGACTTTTATATGTAAGTCTCAAATTTGCAAAATCCTACTAGCTCTTTCCCATTTTATATTGTATACTTTTCTTTATAGTTATTTCAATAGTGAAAAACAAATTTATATATTTAAAATAATTTAATTTAAAATTTTTACTTTACTCTTAATAAAAAAAATTTTAAAACAAACTTATGTTGATAGAATTTGGCATTGATCCTTACCTTGCCTTATACCTCCTCAAATCCTACTTAAGAGTTGGACGCACCCAACCTTTTACAATTTGCACAATTCCCATAAACATTTCTAACACCACTATGAAGGTTGGACACACCCCAACAATTTACATTCCGTTAAGATGAGGAAGCTCCACGGGAGTCATCATACTTTCTATAAGATAGCAGAGAGAATATAGAGAGAATGAGGAAGAGAAAATGAAATTGAGTTCTGTATTTTCATTCAGAGAAGCAACAGTACATATATAAATTTAACTAGCTCACACGTACACTTAACCAACTAATACAACTGTGTACGTGACTCTTAATACTCCCCCTCAAGTTGGAGTGTGGTATATATCTGACACTCCTAGATTGGATAACAGATAATGATGTTGTGCTGCTCCTAATCCTTTGGTGAATAAATCTGCCAATTGTTGTTTGCTCCCCAAGTACTCTGGATGTATCAACCCTTTCTTGATTTTTTCCTAATAAAATGACAATCAATGTCGATATGTTTTGTTCTTTCGTGGTAGATTGGGTTTGCTGCAATTTGCATGGCCGCCTTGCTATCACTGTACATTGGCCTTGATACTTCTACATTCAACTCCCGTAGTAATTCTTCTAGCCAGACTATTTTAGCTACTGTTGCTGCCATGCTTCTATACTCAGTTTCAGCTGAGCTTCTGCTTATAGTCTGTTGCTTCTTGGATTTCCAGGATATTAAAGAATCTCCTAGCTTGATTGCATATCCAGTGACTGACCTCCTTGTGTTTGGACAGGAAGCCCAATCTGAGTCATAAAAGGCTTCTAATTGTCCTATGTTTAAACCTCTTTTCAAGAGTATTCCCTGTCCAGGTGACCCCTTTATATACTCGATCAACCTTAAGGCTGCATTCCAATGCGATAGTTTGGGTTGCTGCATGAACTGGCTCAGTACTTGCACTGCAAAACTTAATGTCTGGTCTGGTAATAGACAAATAGAGCAATTTTCTCACTAGCTTATGATAACTAACAATATCCGTTAATTGTTCATCATAAGACTTTTCCACATGAGTGGCATACTCAACAGTGGTAAGTTTGAGATTCATCTCTAAAGGTGTAGTAGCAGGTTTGGATCCACTAAGGCCAATGTCAGCTAGTAACTCTAAAGCATATTTCCTTTGGTTGAGTAAGATCCCAGATTGTGATCTTAACACCTCAATCCCTAAGAAATATCTTAACTGTCCCAAATCCTTTACCTTGAACTAGCTATGAAGTGTGGCTTTAACCTCCTCAATTAATTTCTTATTGCTACCTGTGATGAGGATGCCATATACGTATACTAGAACAATAACTATATTATTACCAACCCTTTTGTGAATAAAGAGTGATCATAAGAACTCTGATTGTAGCCTGCACCTGTCAAGGCATCAGTAAGTTTGATGTTCCATTGTCGTGAAACCTGCTTCAAGCCATATAGTGATTTGAGAAGTTTACACACCTTGTACTTCCCATGTCCGTGAAAACCCTGTGGGAGATCCATGTATACCTCTTCAAATAAATCTTTTTGTAGAAAGGCATTATTGATATCCATTTGTGATAACTCCCAATCTTTTGAGGCTGCTAGTGCTATAACTGTCCTCACAGTTACTATTTTGGCAACTGGAGAGAATATTTCATGATAGTCCAAGCCCTCTTGTTGTGTGTATTCCTTTCCCACCAACCTGGCCTTGTATTTGTCTACCTCTTCATTGGCTTTGTACTTAATCTTATACACCCACTTAGAGCCTACTGTTTGTTTGCCCGTTGGGGGGTCAACAATCTCCCAAGTATGGTTGTCTTCCAATGCACTGATTCCCTGATTCATGACTTCCATCCACTTCTCATTTTGAGTTGCTTCTTTGAAGCTTCTTGGTTCAGTAGGGGTTGTAACAAGTCCAACATATGCCTGATAGGTAGGGAAAAGGTGATTATATGCCACATAGTTGGTGATGGGATATTTGCAAGATGTTGAAGACTTCTTCCCAGTGACATAATCATTTAGCCATGTAGGAGGCTTTGTCACTCTACTGGGTCTGCTGCTATCCACTTCTGAATCATCAGGTTGTTCCCCTACTGTTTGGACATCTGTGAAGGTTTCAAGTTGAGGCTGTTCATCTGAGATTGTAGGCTCTAAGTTGACATTACCTGTGTTGGAATTCTGCTCAGTTGCCTTTGCAAGATCTGGCTCTAAGTTGGTATCATCTGCCTCTGAATGTGCTGCTTCTGAATTTGTATCAATTGTTGTCTCTTGATCAACAGTTACCTGATGCTCAATGGATAGGCTATGCTGAAAATTCTCCTCTGAATTGGCTGATGGCACATCTTTCTGTGCTATAGGATCTACCAGGAATAGATCATCTTCCCAAACATCTTCATGCCTTTTTTCTTTGAAAGGAAATATATCCTCTCTAAAAGACACATCTCTGCTCACGAAAAAGAGTCGTGACTCCAAATCATACAACCTATATCCTTTTTGTGTTTCTGAGTAGCCCATGAATACTGTCTTTTTTGCTCTTGCAGCAAACTTATCTTCCCTTGGTAAGACACTAGCACAACATAAACAACCAAACACTCTTAGATGCTTCATTTTAGGCACCTTTCCATGCAGCATTTCATAGGGTGATTTGTCATTTAGTACTGCAGTAGGAAGTTTGTTAATCAAATAGACTGCAGTTCTGATGCATTCACCCCAGAATCTAATTGGCACAGCATTTTGAAGTTTTAGAGCCCTTGCAACTTCCAGAATATGCCTATGTTTTCTCTCTACAGTTCTATTTTGTTGTGGTGTATATGGATAACTACTTTGATGAATCACTCCAAGACTAGAAAGTAAATCATTACATGTAGAATTAAAGAACTCTGTGCCATTGTCTGATCTCAATACCTTAACTGTCATACTAAATTGATTTTTTATCATTAAGAAGAAATTTGTTAATACAACTAATACCTCACACTTAGACTGTATTAGGCAAATCCACGTGTACCTACTATAGTCATCAACAATTGTGACAAAATAATGCTTCTTATCATATGTAGGCCTCTTATAAAGACCCCAAACATCTACACGCACAAGCTGGAAGATATAGTCTAATTTACTGCTACTAACAGGAAAAATTGATCTATGTTGTTTTGCCATTGGACATACTTGACATTCCTGTTGCACATACTCATCTGCTAGATTTCTCAAGGTAGGTATGTGTTGCATTGCCTTCATTGAGGGATGTCCTAGTCTTAAGTGCCACAATTTTGTGTCATGTTTCCCTTTTATTACTGCTGCTCCTACTACTGGTTTTGTATGTTCTTGGAGAATGTAGAGGCCATCAGATTCTCTACCAGTCCCCATCACCTTGCCATTATAAAGGCCCTGAAGAAGATAGAAATCAGGAAAGAATTTTACAGTACAAACGAGGTCCTTGGTCAGCTTAGCTATTGAAAGCAGGTTAAACTTGAAATCTGGCGCATGTAAGATATTTCTGATCCTCTGACCTCCTAAAATTGTTGCATCTCCTATATCAGTTATCTGTGACTTCTTACCATTTGGTACCTGCACTTTTCTACCTTCCTGATTCCTTAATTGCCTAATGTCAATTAGTTCTGTTTTATAAGAAGTAATATGATGAGATGCCCCTGAATCTATAATCCATTCAATACCACACGTTTGGGATGGCAGGGAAACAATACCCTCCATATTGGCTTTGCAGTCACCAGATGATGCTGATTTGCTTAACAAACTCACCAGCTGCTTATACTCATCTTCAATAAAGAAATGACCTTGTGACTGTCCTTCAACAGAGCTGGTTCCCTCAACTGTTGTATTGTTCACATAGGTTCCGAAACCAGTACCCTGCATTGTCTTCTTTTTACTTTTGAAATCGGGTGGATATCCCACAATTTTGTAACAATTTTCCTTTTGATGTCCCTTATACCTACAGTGTTCGCAAATCAAGACAGATTTTTTTTCTTTCATCATTTGTCCTCTTCCAGCTAACATAGTTAATGGTTCCTTGTTTAGGTCCATCACACCAAGAGCT